ATGGCTTAGCATAATGTATGAACCAAATGGTCCAAGTAAAATTGGAATATTTATTGGCCCTGGGTTGGCTGAAAGCTTTTTACGTTGCTGTGAAGGCTAGATTGGGTATGGTAGGAAGTGAGGGGACTGAAAGAAATCCAGTCTGGTCATCTGGAGAGGGCCTGCTGAGAGTTCACGCTCCTTGGGAGGTACACGAAGCACGCACAAGGTGGCTGGCCTTCTTGAGTCCCCATTTTGTGGAACTTTGAAAGGAAGTGAAAGGAATCCTATTCCATTGTGCCTTTGGCCTGAGGTGACTGGGAGGACCGTGACTGCTAAGGCTTTTAACAAATGCATTGCATTACTTCAGTTATGCTTTTTTGGAATTTTGTTTTGGCTGTTTACTGCCCAGAGTCCTTTGGGACTGGTGGGGTGAGAATTGCTGCAAGTAATAAAAAAACAAATTTGCTAGCTTTATCTGGGGAGGAGGTAAATTAAGATTTGTCTTTATTACCGTGGATTCTCCTGTGCTTCTCCTGTTACTTCCAGTATCAGCTCTCTGGGCAGAAATCTACCATTCTGGTTTAAATTATTTCCAAAGAGTGTGTATGTGTGTATAAATACACACTCTCTCACACACATGTATTATAAAAAAAAAAAAAAATCCCCAACAGCTTGAAAAGAGCTAATTCAGTTAGATAGCCTGCTTTGGTGTGGCACACACAGCTTGTCCACTGACATAATCCTTACTGGCAAAAGCAGGAAGTGAGCAGCAGGCGAGGAGAAGACTCACAGCCTGAGCCAATCTGGCTTTCCATCTGGATCATGGTGGCCCCAGTAATAATCATAATCTTACACACAGACAAGTTGTCTGGAGGGATTTCTTGCTCCCCTCCAACTTCCCTCCTCAAATATAACGGGCTGACATCTTGCCACTAAGGAGCTGTGAAATATGAAAGGGACGCAGATGGAAGGAAAGGCAAAGTAAACTCATGAAGACTCAACTTGGTCTGAGTTTCTAATTTGGAAGTTAGACCACATGGCTTATATCTGGACAAGAAAAAAAAATACTGCTGTAAGAAGGCAGAGCTGTTTGGTAAATAAGCCCACAGATTGAAATAAAATCACTGATTGCTATGCTGAATTCTGTTCTCTTACTTTCCCCAAAGGTCTCTCTTCTCTTCCCTTTTTCTATAGTCATTCTCAGAGTGCCTCAGAATTTCTCTAGAATTACTTGAGAGTTTACTCTCCCCTTCTGATGTGACAGAACATGTTGAAATGTTTTCTCATGAAACATTTCCCCATCATTCTGAAGACCCTCAGCTGCTCCTAAGAAAAGGACCATGGGATGAGTTTCAGTAGCAAGGATCTTTCCTTAGGATTTGATTGAAACCATGGTGCCTGCAGTTCTGCAGAGTAATGACTCTAAAGTGAGAGATACAGCATTCCTACATAATTGCTGGATACCAATCTACTAGATCCAGTGCAAAGGAACTGTAGTCCATGAGAATCCAAATTTTTCTTCTTGGGTGCGAGTGTGTGAAGAATTAAAAAGCAATGTATTTTCCATCATACTGATCATGGTAAAAAAATGCAGAAGCCATTCCAGATTTTGCACACCTGCCTGACTTCAATTACTTGTGCTTGTGCATCCAATAGTGGAGGTATCCAATGGTAAACAAATGGAGAAGCCATTCCAGATTTAGCACCTCAAATTGACCCTGGAAGAAATTAGCAACCAACAAACTTGGCATATGATTAATGTAGTGTTGCATTTCCTAGCCTGTTGTCTTCCAGATGTGCTAGATTTCAACATCCACAATTTCCTGGAAAGCACTAGGTTGGGGGAAGGGTAGTGCAATATATATTCTATGATTCAAATATTTTTTTAAAAATCTCATTATTAATATCTGTGTTGCTTCTGCCCTTTTAACTTCTTGTAACTTGCTTTGTGTTAAACTAACAGTTTTTATTGCAAGCTCCCTTGAGTTTCCTTTAGAAAGGCAGAGAATATCTTTTGCTTAATAACAACAAGCTAACTAGGATCAGTGTATTCATTCAAGGCCTTGATATATGGCTGGGGCTGGGACAGGGGAGCAATGGGAACACTTTCCCTAGACCCCACACATGGAGGGCAGTTCCATATAAAGTTTAAATCAAGACCATGGTGTGACCATGCAGTTGAAGCCCCATCCCTTCTGAATATGTACTGACATATATAAAAAAGGGGCAGAACTTTGCAAGCTGCCATCTTGCTATGTTTGACCTGTCCTGCGCATGCCCTGGTATATGTGCTGTATTTTTGCAATGCTTTGTAGTGACTAGACAAGCCTCCATTCCCTGCAGAACTTGCCTCCCATATGAAGGGAGACAAGCTATTTCCACACTCATCCCAGAGATGGTCCATACAGAAAGTTATCAGATGGGGAACCAACATCTGAATCCACCACTCTGCTTTAAAAAGCTTTGCCTTGAGATGGGAGAGAGAGATTAGGGAAGATTGTAGAGCCATTACTAGACAATGTTATGATCATGTGGAGGCTAGAAAAAGATCTCACGGTTAGTAGTCTCAAGCGGAAACAGAAGAAGGCAAAGCTTGGAAAGGTGGAAGACAGGATTCTGGGTCAATGGAAAAGTGCCTGCCTGGATCTGTGGTGAAGAGTGAAGCTAATTTCTCTAGGTGAGAGAGGAAATGCCAGATTGGGAACCTGAGGCCTCCATGGTCAACAGAAGAGTGTTTCTCAACCGTAGCGACTTGAAGATGTGTGGACTTCAACTCCCAGAATTCTCCAGACAGCATGGGAGTTGAAGTCCACAAATCTTCAAGTGGCCAAGGCTGAGAAACACTGCAATAGAAAAAGACAAAGCTCAGAATAATTGAGGCAAGTCTCTAGGTCTATGGAGAGTTAAAACTGTCTGGATCCACAGTAAAACTGTGAAGCTGGTTTCTCTGGATTATTGAGATGAGGGAGGATTCCTGAAGTGGAACTCAGAAGCTCCTAGGAAAACAAAGGAGGAAGGTGAAACTGCTCCTAAGCCTCTAATTGGAAGTTGGAAAACTGCAAAAAGGAAAGTATCACTGAATCATAGAACAATGAGAATCAGTAAGCTAAGATGCATTATAAGGATTTTATACCTTATTTTCTAAGGTGTAGAAAATGGTTCTAAGGTATGGTTTCTAGTAACTGTCAATATTAACTTTTGCATTTGAAGTCTAATATACTTGGGTGAAGCAAACTCAATTCTTGTGCTTTTCTTCCATCTTAAGCTTGAGCCCGGGGGTGACTGCAGGGAGGGGGTCAAAATAGTCAAGATGCTGGCCATAACCATGTAATCAAAACCTTGCCCCTTTCCTATGTGCACTGCAACCTTTATAAAAGGGGAGGGCTTTGACTCCATGGTTGTGGCTGCCATCCTGACTTTTTTGACCATCCTACACCCTGTTTTGAGCCTCAAATTCCACCTATCATGGATCTGTGCCCAGGCTGTCCACAGCTTTATGGGAGAGGAACATTTAACAAACTATTTGTGATTTTAAGAACACTAAATCCCGTATTTCATCCATTTGTAATTATTTGGAGCATTTTGACTGCTTGAAGTAAAAAGGAAGTTTTTCTTTTTCCTTTCTTTTTTGATATAATCTTGATCTTTAATTTTTTTTTTCTGGCTTTGTTTGCACTTGACAAAAGGAAGGGGGAGGCTGTTTTTCTCTGTCCACATGCTTCAATGGCCAGGTTGTGATGCTGCCAAATATAATTTTCCTTTTTCACCACCACCAGGATGATGATGATTTCCAGTTTACTGGCAAGGACATGTTCAGGGTGTGAGATCCCCATCTGTCTCACAAGATGGTATTAAAGGTGAAGATGCCAGGTAAAGGCATTTCCTTCTTCCATTAGGATTGGTGATGATTCAATAAAACTACCAAGAAGCTGCACCAAGTCAGGAAGGTGGGACACAGTGTGTAAAAGGGAGAGTTGAGGACCCCCCTCCCACTTTGCACTAAGGCAGGCTCAGCCTCTCCAGCCTTAAAGAATTGTTTAAAGCTGGCATCTTCCAGGCATTATTTTCAGAGTGCAGCTATTGAGAATGGGGTAGGAGGAGCAAGAGTAGTTAAAATGAGAACTTGAGAAGGGGAGCTATTTGAATATCTAGGTGTTAGGTTTGTGTACAACTGGCAAAACAATCAGCTAATCTTATTCTAGTATTTTTGGCTGACTTGGAACACAAAATGGGAATTCTATAAAAGATACCCAGCAAAGTCAATTATGTCTTTTCAAACTGCAGAACTATTACAATACTGTTTAGTAATGCCCTGTTCTTCATGGAATCTTATTGCTTGATGTTATATTTCATTTATTTTTGAGACATTACTCTCCCGTGTGTTCTACTGCCATGTACAATACTTACACATATTATCTACTCCCCCCCCCCACTTTCATGGAGAGTAGTCATTTACTTCTGAGCTGTATTAGTAGATTTCAATGGTGTCTGATTTTGTTCAGTTGTTTGATGCAAGAATAAAGGCACTTGAGATCTCAGCATGTATACATCTCACAGGGAGAGTCTGATTCTTCTCAAACTATAGCATGAAAAGACCCAGAGACTTGCTTAGTCAAGATTTGTATCCTGGGCTCTCTAAAATGTCCCATTCCACTACAGTAGGTGGAACATGCTTGCTTCTCTAGGACTTTGAGGTTGTGTAATATTTCAGAGTTATAGGCTGAGTAATATCAGTCCGAAATCTTTCTTACTGGCTTCTGACATGCCTCTCAGAATGACCAGGCAGTACAATTACAATCCTCATCCATTAAGAGGGTATCAGGTTGGAGAAAGCTGATTTAGGAAGTTCTCTTAGTCATCTTGCTTTCAGTCTTCCAAAATTCCTCTGCCACCATTATGAACTGTATGATATATGATCAGGAGTAGAGATGTAACATTTCTAGAAATTTTGGAGAAATAGAACATTTTTTTAGAAAGATGAAAATATATGCAATACTAACTTTTGTTAGTGTCTTTTATTAAGCAATGGTTTGTGAACATTTAGAAATGAATGCACTGTTTGGTAGGAGCCTGCAAGAAGTTATGAAGAATAACCAAGATAATAAGCAGCTGGAAGAAAAAAATGAGGATAGGTGGGAAGTTTTGGGTATGTGTCGCCTGGGAAAGAGAAGATTGCAGGGAGACATGATGGTAGTCTTCAAGTATCCAAGGGGCTTTACTATAGAAAATGTGTTAGAATTGTTCAGAGTTGTTCCAGAAAATGGAACAAGAGCCAATGGATTTACAGTTCAAGGAAGTAGATTTCAGGTAGGACATAGGAAAAAAATCCTATTTGTAGGAGCTGATTGAGAGTGGAACAGGCTGTCTTGCAAGATGGCAGGCTCTCCTGTGCTGGTGATATTTAAATGGAGGCTGGATGGTCATCTGTCAGGGAGGCTGAATTAATGGATCTGCACAAGGCCAGGACTAGACTGCATGATCTTCAAAATACCTTCCAACCATTACATTCTATGATTCTATGGAAATAAAGGCATGAAAGGACAAAGTGAGGATATTTTGCTCAGAATTTTCTGTTACCCTCCTCCCGCCATGTATTCACATCTTTAATTTGGATCTAGCTGCTCAGGTATCTGTGGTTGTTTGTGCCCAACCATCAGAGGCCTGCAGAGGGAATAGCTGTGTATAAAACTGGTACCTGTGACTGGAAGATAATATACTTTTGGATAAGTGCTAGCAAGCGGGATCATACTGCATTGATCATGTAAGAGCTAGATTGATTATCAGCTTGTTTGGGGCTATAAATTAAAATAAGCACAATGAGTTCTGAAGCCTTTCAGGGTTTAGGTTCAATATATTTTCTTAGGCTGAGGGCTGGGAGTGTGGAAACCTACAGACACCATGTCATCCATAACAACCTTGTCTGAGCCCCCTTTCGCCAATCTGATAGATAGAGAGATAGAGAGATAGATAGATAGATATTTGAACTAACTTTAGAAATCTAGTGAGATTCAGTGTTCTCATGAGACAGTGAGAATATAGAATTCCTGTTTTAGGACACAGGAAGGCTGCTCTTAAAAAAATGCCCTACAAAAGCTGAATGGCAGTGATAAGCCTGCAATGTTTGGCTTTTTTGTGGGGTTAAAGACAAAAAGGTGTGTTAAGCCTTAAAGGAAGCCTAATGGACTTCTTTTAAAAATGCGTACAAGAATTTAACCACTGAAAATCCTTAATCTGCCTTCTAATGTTAGCAGAAGCCTGAAAAGATAAGGTTGGGGAATTGCACAGCAGCCAATGTGGTTGCCAATTTCTGCCTTGGGAATCTTCTACCCAGTATTTGTTTCTCATACTATAAGGTCTAATACAGGGTTCCTCAACCTTGGCGACTTGAAGATGTGTGGACTTCAACTGCCAGAATTCCCCAGCCAGCATGGGGAATTCTGGGAGTTGAAGTCCGCACATCTTCAAGTCACCAAGATTGAGGAACCCTGGTCTAACAGATGGTTCCTTCCCTGTTATTTCCCACCTGTGATGAGGCCTAACTGATAAGACCCACTGCGACAGCATTCTCAATGGTGGCACCTAAATGTCCTGTTTTAGGGGTTTAGGTTGGCACCTTTTCTCAGAATCTTTGTTGGTGAAGACTTTTATAGAGACACATTTGTTCCACAGCAAATGTAAATCTTACACAGAGTTTAATTTTAACTACTCTTACCTGCTTTTTTTTATTATCTAAGCCCTTTTTTTTACATACATACATACATACATACATACATAGGTAACTGTGCATTATGCAATTCTCTTTCAAGATAAGCAGTGTTATGTAGAGCATAGAAAAGGAGTAAAAATATGAAGCTAAAGGAATTAAAAGCATAAGAAAACAAAAGGAAATATAAATTGAACTAGTTTGTGTGAACTCCATTCATTATACCTCTCTATACATTTCTATCCTGGCCAGCCATCCTGACCACCACAAGATCCATGCATTGCTTCGTACGTAGCTTCCTGTCTCTCTTTCTAAGGATCTCATCAATCACATCCAATGGTTACTTTTTCATTTTCTCCTTTCTCTTGACCCATTCACTTTGAATATATTTGTTTTGCAATTTGATCCTTATTTATTTTCTCTGTATGATCAAACTACCTCAATGTACTTCTTTTGTACTGGCCATTTGTGTTTATGTTCAATCCCCATTAATTCAGGACCTATTCATTTTGCTTTGTTTCAAGCAGTAGCCATCTCCTCTTTCTTTATATCCAGTTTCCATTTATCCTGTTGGGTGAGTAATCTATCTTCTAATTCATTTTTATACAGGACCTACTTTCTCTTTCTGCAGTTGTCCTACTTCCCCTCTCATTTCTTTCACTTCTTCCCTTCCATGTCCATTCTCCCCCAATGTGCTTCTTAAACTACTAACATACATCCTGAGTGTGGATTACTTTATGACATATACCTCCTACATGGTAGGAAGTTGGCAATGATGTGGCTTGCAAGGTAATTTCTAAATTAGTGCACTAGAATAGCATGAACATACTTGGGGTACAAGTGGGCTTTGGTTATGGTTAGGGCATGCTGGCCAAAATGTATCAAAACTAGCATTGTCAGTCCCATGAGTAGGCAACAATGCTTGTGGCATGGGTATAACTGATAAGCTAGTCTATACCTTCTCTATATTACTCAAAAAAGTTATATGGAAGTCCTCCCTCTTTTGATAATTGGTGTGACTTGTCTTGATTTTTATTATTTTTAACTGCCCTAGAGGTAAGTAAACACCGAAAGGGCAGGATATGCTAGCAGCCTATATTTCTTCCCATATCTTTCAGTAAAATTGTACCTTCTGCTTGATGCCCAACATTTTGCTAGTGAGGCAGATTTTTTTGGGGGGGAGGGGCTATCTGATCCTAAATTGAGGACCTCCTGAGATTTTCACAATTCTGCATAGCACTTAGCAGTGCTCGGATACTGAATAAATTAACATGGCTGTTTCTGGAGCATTCTTTCCATTTTGAGTAAATTAGAGCAGGAGGAGGCATTTATTTTCTGGTCAGATCTTAATTTCAAGAATATACTATCCCATCCGTAACCCAAGCATGGCAGAGGAGATTAACCTTTATGAGCCATTGGGAGGATATATCTCCCACTACGTGCAAACACTTTTGGCCATGGTTTCTAGCCAGCTGGGACTGAATTGAACTAGTGCCTGGAATATATGCCAGTTGCAAATGTTCAAATCAAGATCCAAGTGACTAAAAATATCAAGTGTACCCGATTATTTTCTGAGGAAATGCAAAATATATTAAAAAGCAATAGTTTTGGTCCAAAATGTTCTCCTTGCTTTTCTAGCTCAGCTTAGGCATGGCCCCAGATTTCTATCATCCTTATCATGTGTGAATTCCCTGTGGCCAGAAAAATGTGGATCATCATCATCATTACAATGTTAGTATAATGACAAGACATTAGTTTGGAAAAATGCCTCTATGTCTCCTATGATTGATAGCATGATGCTTAGGTATAATAAGTAATGCGTTAAAGAAGTTCTTCCTTATTTAAGAAAGGTGCACAGATTAATTAGGGAAAAGCTTCTGAAGGTTTTTATTCTTCCTTTCTTATTAGCTTGTATGTTTCTGACATTAATTTGTGCAAAGACATCAGAGCTTTATGGCTGACTTGTGATCATTTTTGTTGGTTGGAGGTAATCCTGCTCTTCTAGTCCTTCCTTTGAATCCCCACTAGGAGACTGGACTGATTTTAGAAGCTTTAAGGTTGCTTTTCTGTCCTTAGTATAAACATTAAAGGTTAGGCTAATTGTTGGAGAATCACAATGTATAGAATCTAGCTACAGTTTGGTGATGATGCTTTGCAGTTGTGTAAATCAACAGGCTTTGCACATTCAAAGGATCACTCACCAAAGTGGTGGAGAACATGTTAGGGTTCAGAAGCTGCACTCATTTTGGGGAATCTAAGAGCTGTCATAGATAGAATAAAGATGCAAAGTGAGTTGGAGAGGTCACGCACATGAGCAGAGCTGGGATTTTCTCTTTCCCCTGATTTTTATGGGAGCACTTTGACTTTCAGTATCACAGTTTTTATATGTTTCCTGACTAACAAATGGGTTTTTAAAAAAAACTTGGGGGCCATAGGTTGCCATTGCTGGAATAAATCATGGGAGCTGAACAATTCAAATAATCTATAATTCTTTCTCAGCAACTGGCTTATACGAGGCAGGATTTGTTCTGTTTATTTATTATTTATTAGTTTATGCCCAGTCATAAACCAACCAACCAGAGTTAACATACAAAATGTCCTGCATAAAAGTCTTGTTCACAGCACAAACTGAGCATATTTAAGTTCTGTTGAGATGCATCTATTTCTAACCTCTAATGGTATGCACAGAATTTGGCTACCTGCTGGAAACATTGCTGTCCTGGCTGTTTAAATAAGAAGCACACACAGTTACCTGTTGGGACCAATCCTGATCATTTATGATCAGGGGAATGATCTCTAACTCCAAGAAAAATAGATAGGGCATTCCAGGAGTATATGATGGTCTCAATTTTTATAACTAAACATATTCATAAGCACTCCCTTGAGGCCAGAATATTTAAGCATGCCAGTTGAGCCTTATGTGAGGGCCCAAGGATATGATAAAAATATTTGGGGGCGTTAAAAGGTGGATACATTAGCTCATTGTATTAATAGTGCGAAGTATTACATCCTTCCCTCTGCACATCAGGATCTAAAATTCTCTGCTTGACTTTGCTCTGAGAAAGAATTCAATCCTGTTTTTGTTTTCACAGAGCTAACAGGACAGACTTTTCCATCCCAGTGCCTAAAAAAAAAAAATCATATTAATTTTGTATTCTGATTCTTAATTTTCTGATTCTATTTAGAACTTGGAGTGCTTAAAGTTGACTGTGTCACTTCTAGATAATGCAACATAGCCACCTGCCTTTCAAATTCTCATTAAAAAGCCCACAAAAGAGGGCTTCTGTTTTACTACCATATTTTTAGAGTGCTTGAGTATTTCTTGTGACTTTCCCCTGGAGGTGCTGCTTAGCTGACTATTGCCAGGGATGGCAAAAGCTGTGGTTCTGCTACTACTGTCTTTCTGTTACACATTTTTCCATCACTTTAAAAATCTGAAAAGGCCTTCTGGGTGCCTCCTCTTGGGAGTTTAGAGAAGCTTGCAAACCCAGGAAGGCTGTAGACTGCTGAAGAGACAATTATACAGTGAAAGGCAGAATATTTGCACAAAGACTTTTGGCACCTTGTAAACTAAAAACAATGCAGGAACATCACAACTGACCCATGAGAATTTAATTATACATTCTTCTTTAAAAGAAATTCGAACAGCACTTTTTCTTTTATCAAGTGGAATGAGAATTGCTAGGAAAAATGCAGATTTTTTTCCTTTGCACTCCTGATAGATGCCCATAAAATGATTAAATGATAATGTTTCTAATCATAAGAGATACTGGATAGTGTGATAGATCCCACAAAGAGGCTGTGGGCATTTCT